CAATAACCCCCCCTATTACACAGAAAGGCTTAGTGGGCAATCTGGCTGGATCTATTGATAAGGTATGTTTCTGTTTCTCCATCTTGCAGTGACATTCCAATCAACATGATCATAGGATGGCTTATCAATGCTTATTAATGCATATTAAACCACCAGTACCTCGCTCAGCTATTGAATCCGAGCCTCCCGGCACGCTGCGCGCCAAGTCCTGTCGAACCGCTGTCCCAATTTTCTTTTTCGTTTTGCCTGCGGCCTCCAACCAATGCGGTCCGGCAGGCCGAAGCACAAATGGCGCGGTGCGTATACGGGAAGCACCGCAGCCGATAGCTGGGAAAGGTACTGGTGGTTTAAGCCAACTGTGCCTAACGACAACGGAACAGCAGGAGCACACAGTCTGTATCTTCCTTGCCAGGGTGTCGATCCCAGAACCAATCTCAGGGATCCAACATCAGATAATTGGCGGCCGCAGTTTCCAAGAAGTACGGTAAGCAGAGAACTTGTATTCCTTTACTTTCTTCAACCACAGATATCAATTCCGTTGGTAGGGAGCTGGACTTGCTAAGTATGGCTAGAGCATGACAACAGATATTGCAGACTCGAAAAAGCGATCAGAAAAGCATAGGAACAATACACTAATTAACAAGGGGGAAAACATTTGGACTGCCTAGGACGCCTATTTTCATCCTCTCCTCTTCTCTTAGCTATAGCATATCGCAAGGTGCCATAAGATATCTCAGCGAAGATTCTCATAACACAAAGCCAAAAAATAAGAACATGAAACACCCAAAGGATATATTTGTGTCATTCCATCGCTATGGATATAGAAATTAGAATGAAAACGATTACATGAAATTGAACACAACAGCAAGCATACACACTCACATAGGATCAAAACAGAAGCATATACGAGAAGACTCGAACGCCTCCGCCGACCGGTGCCAGCGCTTACAGCGAGCGGAACCGACGCCTTTGCTATAGCAGAAGTTGAAGAAGGGCGGGGCGTGGCGGTATGAGCCAGACAGCAAAGAGTGAGTAGTGGGAACATGCTTGAAAAAAGAAATCATGCGCTTCTGCACAGCCAACAGAACCGGCGCCTGCGCTATAGTGGGAAGGGAAACAGGCACAAGGTATATAAATCAGTTTGGTCAGGAGAAACTGGACGATCGCTGGGGGTTATCCGAGGCCCGTCTGTTGCCACGGCTAGTCGTGACAGGCGGGTGGCGACTGAAAAAACTTGGTCCTTCTATTCTTCTCAGTAGCCCTATAATCTACCTTCAACCTATTTTAACAAAGGGTCCTGCGGGGTTTACTTTCAGTTGTTCAATACCAAACCCTTTTTCCCGTGTATGTTCTAATGCAAAAAAAGATTCCACTGGGTAAAGCAAAAAACCCAGTTTTTCCAGCAATCTTAAAATTTTGACGAAAAAGCTGTAATTGTATTATCAAAGAATCGGTTCGGATATCCTCGCAATCTGAGCTCTATTTTAAGTGTTACCAGGAACACCGCCTCTGCTGCCGGCCAGATGGCAAAATTTCTGGCCCTATGAAGAGAGGAACTGATGACTGCCATCTTCTGTTGCTTGCTTGAGGAGGAAATGAAATCCTGTATAGCTTGAAAAGCGATCCTTCCTGTTTGAAGCAGTGATGCCTGGTTTCGATGAGTCGGTATGCTACAAATCCCAAGTGGTGGTGGGAGAACTTCCAGGTAGCAACCCAGAAAATCCCAGCGGTTTTCATGACTTGTTTTTTCCAAAGTTAGATTTGCATCATATCAATTCAGGAAGCGTTCCAGAATAAGGTCTGCTTTTTCCCGTGATTCACTCTTATACGTGTTGTATTTGATAAAAACTGATACATCATCTACTAACCTTCCTCCCTGGATTAGGTGCCGATCATTACCTAATGCTGCTAAGAAATGAAACTCATTGTACATGCGTAACATTGCTGCTAACGCAGGGCTTGAAGACTTGCCCATGGGAACTCCAACGTTCTGCTTGAGTAGATGTCCCTTTGCAAAGACATAAGTGTTACTGAGGTCAAAGCCCACAAAATATTTGATAGTGGAAAAACTAAGAAACTTCCAATCAAGAATCGACCTGCTAGTTGAGAGCTTAGTTTTTTTACCTCGCTTTTTTACCCATACACCATCATAACCCTGGAGGCGGAAATAATGTGTAAACCATCAAATAGCTTGTCTGATGGAATCATGCGGAAGTTTGCAAAACATTTCTTTAACGTCAAAGCTAGCACTAAGAAGGGAGTTTGAAGGAGCGACAACATTATTAATACAGCGTAGAGCCGAAACTAACTGTTGAGTGCTAAAAAGATTGAAATGGAGGGAAGTAGGAAGATTTTTTATCAGTGTGTTTAGACATGCAGTTACTCGTTTGCATACCCGTAGTGATGGTTCAGATGAAGTGGGGCAAATTGGCCGCCACTTCTGAATATTTTTATGCTTAGCGATTGCATAGCCTCTTCTTATTCAACCTTTGTCGTTCCAGGCACCAACTGAATCAAAACCTGCATGTAGAAACTTCAGTTTACAGGAACTAATAACTTCTTCCTCACTTTTGTTAATGACGCTAAATCCTGAATTGTGCAAGAATAGATCATTCATACCTTTTTTGTATACTAAGGGACAACAAAAAGGTGTATCTCCAGGATTATGGTCACTTGGTGACAGCACTATACCCTTGGTTAAATCCTTTACTAGGTCTACACTCTCAGGTGTAAAGGGAAGCGATCGTAAAGTAAAGAACTGAAGTGGTAGGTGGGGGAAGGGGGAAGAGGATGGGGGCGGAGACAGAAAGGGGTCAGAGTTGTAAGAAGGGACAGTCTTATGAGATGAAAGGTGTAGAGGTGGGTGTGGGATATTAAGGAGAGGTTGGGGGGAAGTACCGGGGAGACTATGCAAAGGAGTCACTGATTTAAAGCAAGAAGAAAGAACTAAATTGGGCAAAGTGAATTTGGCAGGTGGGGAAGAAAGGACCGAGATCTGAGTAAGAATCTTTAGAATCTGTGTTCTTAGTAGTGCAGGGCAGTAGAGGCGGGAAGGGAGAGGAATGTTCCTTGAGTTGAGGAGCCAGGGGGTAACATTTGACAATCTTTAGCTCTGAAGGAGATGTGTCAATTTTTCATAGGGAACATAGGGTGCACGTTCGATGGTGGACTAGAGGGTGAGGGAGAGAAAGGAGATGAGGAGGTTGAGAGAGAAGAAGGAGAGAAGGGAGAAGCGGAGAAAGATGGCGAGGTGGAGGAGGAGGAGAAGCGAGAGGGAGAGGGAGCGGGGAAGAAGGGGGAGGGGGAGCGAAAAGAGGAGGAGGAGAAGGAGGAGAAGAAAGGAGACGTGTGCGTGGGGGAGAAAAAGGTTGGTTTGGAACCATGGTGATAGGCGATAGGAGCAGAGGAAGGCTGAAGTGAAGATCGTGAGTGATATGAAAGACTATCTTCGGCATACTTCGCAAGTCTATTTTGTATCGAATTACATGAGCATTGAACATCAGCAGATCTTGAGTACGTGTGAAAATTGTGGAGAGATTGTGCGAGACTTCGATTTTTTGTCCAAACTATCTTTATCCGTCGTGCTAACATGCTAGCCAAAGATAAAGGAATACGTGCTTGGCGAATCAGTTGTCCACAAAGATTCCGTATGGCTGTTTTTGAGACATTGTCAGAGTACTTGATCCTAAATACGAGTTTTTTCCTGGGAGAAAAACCAAATTTTCGTCGAATGGTACTTGACAATACCGATCTCAGAGTCTACCTAGAAGTTTTTTTTGAAAAACATATAACGGAATTATACGCATATATTAAGTTATCCAGTGACCTGTTTTACAAATTCTTTCTTTCGTTCGGGTGACTAAGCAATCTGGTCAAAGGTTCTTTCAAGCCTTCCGAACGAGAGCAAAATTTATTGATGGATACAACCCTGAAAGTCTGACCACACTCGAACCAGTGTTTGCAGTGTCGAAGCTGATCCCTACCATATCTGCTGACTACCACCGATGCTCCAAAAAGTCGTTTGATAACCTTCCATGAGTCTGCCAAAATCCCTCCACCCTGACCTATTGCCGAAAAAGACTTAATTCCAAGCTTCACACATTCATTTAGGATATGTAGCAGGGAGATAGAGGAAATACCGACCGAGGAAACAAATCCTACCAAGCGCCTGGGCTTCGGGTGTTGCTGACATGTGATAACGTCCTTGTCGCTCGACTGCCTCGACTTCCTTCTTGCTCTCTCCCGCTTACCAGGTCTGCATTTCTTATGAACACTTACCTTTCCTCCCTCTGTTCGAGAATTTAAGTAAGGGGATGACCAGTGAATTAATCTACCCTCAGCAGTTACTAGGTCTTGCACATGAGTGACCATCAGAGGTAGAGCCACATAGTATTGCATCCCTACTCTTCTCATCCATTTATAGAGTACGTGGTTCCTAGTCTTGCCAAGGGAAGAATCAGTCGTAGACATACGCCGAACATGCTCTGACCATCTTATTGGCAGAGATCTATTAGTGCTACCAATATAGCAGTGTTTCATAAAAGGAGAGACTGAGCAATATACAACAGGCCCGGGACAGTGCTCAAAATCATAGTTTACATCAAGAAGATGAAGAAGAGCGTCCGAGAACTTAAGACACCAGGGTATATATCCTAACAGAATGAGGGCAATCATAATCATGCGAGTGAGATAGTTTAGGACAGGGTCAAGAAGACCATCTTTAGACTTACGAAGTAGTAAGGAAGAGTTGAGGAGATCCCAAAGATCGTGACCACTTAGGCCGTACCCCTACTCGTTACCAATGAGCTCGTTTTCGTCAGCATCGACTTGCTGTGTGGCCTGCCCATCAGAAACTTCATGATCATCCTCTCGTATTTCTTCAGCTTCTTAATCCTGCATAGGGTGGTCGGGCTTGTGCTGAGGTCGATGGTCGAAAGCGAGTGCTGTCCTGAGCTCATCTATCTCATTGATGGCCTGCTCACAGGTGACGAAAGTAATACCTTCCTTCCCGCACAGTATCTGCAAGCCGTTCTTCTTGAGCCTCTTCAAGTACTTATTTGTCTCTTTGAGGAAATCGGCTCTCTCCGTTGCGGCGGCTTTACTAGCGAGACGTTCAGAGGTGCACTTCGGAGGAGATGGTCTAAGAGAGAGGTCATCAAGCCCCTCCTCTTGTTGTCCGCGCCGATCGTGATCCTCGTCATCCGTGGCTTCGTTCATTCTCTTGGAGAGGTTTGAGCGAGGGGTCATGCCCTGCCTGACCAGCCTTGAGACAACTTTCTCAAATCGATCCTTGAGTGCTTGAACCTCCATATCTGCAATACGTTTGCCCTCCTTCACCGAATTGTATGCTTTAAGAAGCCTCTGGAAGTCATCAGAAGTCGGGGTGCCAACTCCTATGACTCTAGCCTTTCCTCTTGCTGGGGCTTCGGGGGGACTCGTGATGCACACCCCAGCCGCCTACCTCTTGAACGCATTGCCTGTCTGTTTTACGGATCTTGTCAATTCATCCATATGTTTCTTGATATTTTCGTGCTCGCGCTGAAGTTGCTCAACTTGTTTCTCCAATCGCTCCTTTTCTAGATCTGGTCCCTGTCTCACCCTGAGGTTCTGTTCTCTGCAACGATTGTCTGCAAGCGTAGGTCTGGACTGCTCTGCTTTCCCCAAGAAAAGTTCGCAAGCATCGTTGATCTTCGTGCCCACGATGTAGCTGATTCTTTCCTCAAACTCTTGTCGCTCCTTTAACTTCCTTGTAGCTTTCTCTTCCGCCTCTCTCACCTTCCTTCGTTCTTCTTCTTTTTTGATCAGCCTCTCCTTCTCTCGGATCGCCTCTTGTCTCGCCTCGAGCTCGGAGGCCATAAACTCGTATACACGATCAAGCTTCTCCTGATTCATCTTCCACAGAGGCTGGCGGGCGAGAACCATTTGCCCAGAGACCAAAGAGGAGTTAGGGTTATGATTAGGAGCATTTTGATGTGAGACAGGGGTTGGTGGTGGTGGAAGCGCAAGCAGAGGGGGTGGAGCGGGAGAGCCAAGAGAGGGAGGTAGTGGGAGAGTGGGATTGTTGGCTGCTTGTAGTGGTGGAAACATTGGCGGGCGGGGACGCCGGGAAAAGGAAGGCTGACAGTAGGGGCAATCTTTGACGAAATGTCCTGGCATATTACAATTATAACACACACGTGAGAAAGCCATCTCTCACGCAGGGAACGCCAATTCACGTCGAAGGTTGTGATAAAAGGGACCCAACGATAAAGAAGACACCTAACGGGGAAGACAAAAGGAAAAAATAGGATGAGGTAATACCAGAGAGATTATTATACGAAGTGAGCGATAAGTGAGTAGTTTTCTTATTTGTAAAGTAATAATACATAACAGAGGTGTGCGGCAGAAATCATCAGTCATATGCATCAAACAACCAAAACTTGGAGTAGAGAACGTAGGGGGGAGAGAGAGAGAGAGAGAGAGAGAGAGAGAGAGAGAGAGAGAGAGGGGAAGGAGAGCGGAGTGTAGACGACAACAGCACAGCGAATAGTCTTGAAGCCCGAGCGAAAAAATCTTCAGGATAAAAATTTGAAGCACATCATATCGGTCCTATCTGCAAAACGGACTTGCTGGAAACATCACTTATATATATATATATATTTATATATATATATATATATATATATATATATTTATATATATATATATATATATATATATTTATATATATATATATATATATATATAAAGGAAAAGAAACATCACTTTATAAGACATACACTCTAGGACTTTCCTTGATGTATGTGATAAAAATGGCAGGGTAAGGGCCTGGGCCGCCTGGCCACACCACTCTTGAAACGGGGAATTTTTTCAAGAGTTGTCAGACGTTCTCAAGAGTTGGGTTCTCAAGAGTTTTCAGCCCCTCGCCACACGATACTCTCGAAAGGGCAATGGTGTTGGACAATCGATGAAAAACGACAGTCGTACAACTTTGTTTTTGTCGAATGGCATCAGGATAACGGCCTGACAACTCTAAAAAATCGAAAGTCCCTCGAGGGTTCGGCTGAGGACGCTGGAAAACGCACGAGTTGCAGGCTGGGGTTTTCCATCTTTCGAGAGCTGCTCTTGAAAGGGTTTCAAGAGCTGCTTTGACAGCCCTTGACTTCCCCAAGTTTCGAGAGGTTATGGTGCGATGCACCAACTCTTGAAAATGTGCTGTGGCGAGGCCCAAAGAATGGGTGAAGAAGGTGTGTGTATTTGGGTGATAGTATGTTTGTTTGTTTCGGACTGCAGTTCGTGTTTTGCTTCTTGTTGAAGTTGTACATATAGGGGCTCGCCACACCGCTGTCAAAATATTTAAAGAGCGATTTTCGGTAGTTCCTCCTCGACACACAGCCGGTCAAAAATCCGAGACGGGAGTCGAAAATCCGAGACGGGAATTCAAATAGATTCTCATGTTGTCAGGGAATTTCAAAGAGAAAGTGTATCGAGTTTCAACACCTCCTTTCGAAAGACGGTGCATCTCCAGCCTTCAACATATTAGAAATTATTATTATTATTATTATTATTCTTTTCTGAGGAGAAGTTGAGACATTAATTTTTCAACAGTCCAACGCCGAGCTATAATTGAGTTCTTCTCCGGAATTTGTGGAATGGGATCATAGAGGTCGGAATGGACTAATGCTTGTCCTATACGCCACCGGCCCGGCCCGGTTGTCTCTTTTGTAAACTTGGAACTCACAATTCTACAGTGCTGTGTGGTGGCTGATTGGGAGGGAAGGGGGGGGGGGGGGGTTCGAAAGGGAAGCTGTCAATTTTTTCTCTGACAGCAGTCGAGATTTTGAGGTTTTCTACAGTGGTGCGGCGAGGGGTGCAGCGAGGGCCATCCATCATAGGGCCTCGCCACACCGCTCTTGAAACGGGGAAATATGTCAAGAGCTGTCAGAAGTTCTTAAGAGTTGTGTTTTCAAGAGTTTTCGGCCCCTCGCCACACAACACTCTCGAAAGGGCCATGCCCTTGGACACAGGATGAAAAACGGCAGTCATACAGCTTTGTTTTTTTGCATGGCGTCAGGATACTGGCGTGACAACTCTTGAAAATCAATACCCCGTCAAGTGGCCTCGCTGCACTACTCTAGACTCTCGAAATATTTCGAGAGTTCTACTAGCATTGGCAGAGAGGCGAGACTCTCGAAATATCCGCCTTCACTGCACTTACTCTATAACCTATTACACTAGGTGAACTCTCCAAACCCTGGCCGTCGTCCTACTCGACAGAAGAGCTGCACCACTGCGCTACGGGACAAAGTCTGGCCGCCAGGACAGGAGGTCCACTCTCGAAAAACGAGCCTGTCGGCGGGCAACTCCCGAGGACACTTGCAAAACTATTTCGTTTTTGCAGGCGGGGGACTCTCGACGTTTCGAAAGTTGCATTATAGAGTGCCTTTTGACAGCTCTCGATCGGGTTTCGAGAGCTTGCCGATCGAGAGTAAGTGCAGCGACGACCCACTCTCAAAAAATCAAGAGTCTACTAGAGTAATGTAGAGAGGCCCAAGGGTTCGGCCAAGGACGCTTGAAATCGCACAAGTAGCAGGCAGGCAGGGGTTTCCAATCTTTCGAGACCTGCTCTTGAAAGGGTTTCAAGAGGATGCCACTCTGACAGCTCTTGACTGCCCTAACTTTCAAGAGAGGTTGTGTGGCGATGCAGCAACTCTTGAAAAAGAGTTTTCAAGAGTGGTGTGGCAAGGCCCATAGTCTGTGTTTTGCCGACAGGTGACAGGGTGTTTTTTTTTTTTTTTTTTTTTTTTTTTA